CTGGTCATTTCACAATTCATTTAAAAAAAACTTGTTGAAGCAAAATTTACCTTGTTGAGGTTTGAAACCAGAGATTTCTAACTCTTGAATAAGGACTAACCTTTCTACTACTGCACCACCTTTGCTAGTGCATATAGCAATTGCAACACAAATATAATTATGGGATTTTCAAATAATCCCACGCATTGAGATCCATCTCTTAAAAAATCAAACACGACGAATTATTGGAACGAAATAAAATTAGTATTCTATCCCAAAATTTCTTTAACCAAAATCATAAAATTTCGTAAAATACGTTGAATTATCTTTGAGAAAAAAATGGAATCGTATTACACACGTGAACATGGAAGGGAGCAAAAATAAGGATGTTACAACAATGAAATTGTGAGAACTATCATGGAAAAAGTTAATATTTCCCTATCGAAAAATGAAGATCAAGAATTAAACCTAATGATTCCTAAGATATTTGTCCAAAGATTAGGGTTCCTTTAGATGACTATGAGCTGTGGTGTTTCCCATGTAAACTGATTTTAATTGTCAAACTGTTAGGTAGATCAGTGTACTTCAACTATCTTAATCAAAAGCTAACAAACATTTAGGAAAAAATGGATCGTTAAAAATCTTAGATCTGAATAACAACTTTTTTCTTGTACAATTTGATAAAAATGAAGATTATAAATTAGCTTTGTTTAATGGACCCTAACTTATCCTTGACCACTACCTGTTGGTCCAACAATGGAGGCCTTTATTTAGGAAAGACTAGGAACTTAGAAAAATTGCTGCTTGGGTGAGGATCCCTGACCTTTCCTTGGAATTATACAATGATAAATTTTTATGGCAGGTGGGAGTTTGCCTGGGATCTATGTTGAAGATAGATTCCCATACTTCATTGCTCTCGAGGGATAGACTTGTTAGGATCTGTGTAGAATTGGACTTAAGAAAAATTTTATCCCTTCCTTTATGGTGCTAGGTCAAGAGTTTAAGGTAGAGTATGAGAGACTGCACCTTATTTTTTTCTCTTATGGAAAGTATGGCCACTAAACAAGAGTAGTGCATGGATATTAGTCAATCTCATACAACTGCCACTGTTTCAATGGAAAAAAAATGATGTTTCTCCCCCACAACCTAGGAATAGTGAAGATAAAGGTGAAGATCCTCTTATAGGAAATGAAAAGGAAAGGCAGAGTAGTTATGGGCCATGGATGCTGGCTAAAAAACTTATGAGAAAGAAAATAGGACAATCTAGGACAAATGACCCTCTCAATTATGTGGATACCAGTAAGGATCATATTTCAAGATCTCAGTTTGATGTCTTAGGCAATAAGGAATCCCAGTTAGGGAATCTCAATAAATCCTAGTACCCAGAATACTAATACAAATCTTATACCTAAGCCCTCTCATAGTATTCTCACTTAGAATAGATATAATAATAAGAATACTATCAAATCTGGTAATTATCTTAAAAAGATAAATAAATCTAGAATAATTCTAAAATAGGAAAAATCAGATAAGATTAAGGTGATTCCCCCTCAGACTGAGATTAGGATGGATTGTGAAATTAGTAAGAAGAAAACTGATAATCATGATAATAAAGAAATCTTGTACTTGATGAATCAAATCCAACAAGATATAATTCAGAGTTCTAATGGAAGTAAATCTTTATAAATCGTTTGTGTATCAATCCTAAGGGTATCTGGCCGCAACCTAATATAATGACCCCTAAAGAGAAGCATCCAGATCCTGGCAAGCAAAATAGTATTAACACTGTTTAGGAACAGGAATTTAATAGGATGAGGACCTTCAACCCATGGAGTGTGTTTTTAGTTCTCAGCATATTTCAGATGCTATCAAAACCTCTATCCCTTTCTCATGACCTGTCTTTTTTAGAACTGTAGAGGAGTTAGAGGAAAATGTTTCTTCAGACTTGTTAATGACTTGATCTCTATTCATCATTTGGATTTCATAGCCTTTTTTGAACCTAGAGTCAGTAAAGCTAAAGCTGATAAAATTATTAAAAAACTTAATCTAGATACTTCTGAAAGGATTAATGCTATTGGATTTTCTGGGGGAATTTGATGCATTTGGAATACTAAAAAGGTTAATATAGGTATTCTTCACAAAGCTAAATCAGTCATCCACTTGATAGTTAGGTTTCAGGGATATGAGGAGTGGGTTCTCTCCTCTATATATGCTAGCCCCATGAGAATTTGCGCTCTGATTTCTAGAAGGATCTCATGGACTTTAGTGTAAATATCCAGTCCCCTTAGTGTTTGGCTGAAGATTTTAATTTTGTTTTATATGAGAGGGAGAAGGTAGGGGGTAGACTTGCCAATCCCAGCTCCATTAAGAAACTTGCTAATTGTCTTGATTATTGTGGACTGCAAGATGTAGGTTTCAAAGGAACCCCGTTTACTTGACAAAGAGGACAATTAAAAGAAAGATTAGATAGAGTAGTGGCTAACGATGCTTGGCGTACCTTGTTTCATAATAGTTTTGTCATTCATATTCCTATTTCCAAGTCTAACCATGTGGGTCTATGGTTGAAAATTAGGGGTAGGATGCCCCTATTAAAAATAATATCACATTTAAGTTTTAGCTTCTTGGCTATCCCATAGTGATTTTCCCTGTCAGGTCAAGAAGGCTTGGATTAGATCCAGTTCTTAGGTGGAGAATGTGCTTAGATTTAGGAAAACATTTCTGATTAGAATCAAAATGTTTTTGGTAACATTTTAAAAAGAAAGTGTATTTTCAACTAAAGGTATCTCTCACTGGTTGGCTGCTAAGAGTAATCCTTTTCTTTCCAATCCCACGGTTGCCTTATGGAAGAAGTACCTTTTAATCCTAGACCAAGAGGAATGTTACTGGTTTCATCATCATAAAGTTGTATGGCTTAACCTTGGAGACAGAAATACTAAGTTTTTCATAAAGCAGCCCAAATTCGTAGACACAAAAATATTATAGAAGCCTTAAAAGATAACAATAATATGTGGGAATATAATCCTACTAAACTTAAAACCTTGGACATCCAATATTTTTAGAACCTGTATCATGACCCTCACCCATCTGGTTTTCATCTTGATAGTACCTCTTCTTTTCCTCTCTTCAAGGATATGGATATAGTTAGATTTCAAGCTCCTGTAACTATTCGAGAGATTAAAAATGCCTTGTTTAGTATAGAAAATTTTAAATCTCTAGGGCTTGATGGTTTGCATGCTTTATTTTTAAAAAACTAGTGGGATTATCTTGCCCCTTTTATCTCTGACTTTGTTATGGATATTTTTAATAACCCTCATCGTATAGTTAATGTTAATAGTACAACTATAACTCTTATTCCTAAAACTCATTACTAAAATCATAGCTAATAGATTAAGGAATTCTCTGCCTTTGTTAATTTTTGAAAATCAAACTAGTTTTGCTCCAGGTAGGCAAGGGATTGACAATTCCCTTATCCTTCAAGAACTCCTTCACTCCTTTAATAAATTAAGCACATTATAGTTTTATGATATTGAAATTGGATTTAGAGAAAACCTATGATAAAATTAGGTGGAGTTTCATTCTGGATACTCTGCTTAAGGCTGGTCTTGACTCTTTTTTATCTAATCTCATTTATGAATGTATTTCATCTTCTTCTATGTATCTGAACTGGAATAATAAACCTACTAACTCTTTTAGACCTTATGAGGAATCAGGTAGAGAGATCCTCTTTCTCCCTACCTTTTTGTTTTATGTCTTGAAAGGCTAGCTAATTTAATTCAAGATAAAATCATTAATAAAGATTAGACCCCTTTTTCCTTTAATGGAATAGGTCCTAGGTTATCCTATTTATTCTTTGCTGATGATATCATCCTTATTACTAAAGCAGACATCCAACAGGCTAAGAGCATTCAATAGGTCCTAACTTCTTTTTGCTCTGCTTCTGGACTCAATATTAATTTTAATAAATCTTCTATCTTTTTCTCTAAAAACAATGATCCTATTCTCTCTAGTACTATTTGTGATAAGCTTAAAATCAAGTCTCAGGTTAAGTTTGGAATTTATCTTGGAATCCTTATTAACCATCATAAACCCAATAGGACAGACTTCTCCCATCTCATTGACAAGATCCAGAAAAAACTTGCTTCTTGGAAAGTTAAGTCTTTGTCTATGGCAGGAAGGGTCTCTCTGGCCCAATCTTGTCTTATGAGTGTACCAACCTATACAATGCAAGCCTTGGTTCTCCCTGTTTCAATCTGTGAGGAAATCAATAACATTTGCAGGAATTTCATATAGGAGTCTCTGGGTAAAAAGAGATGTCATTTGATTAGTTGGAATAAGATCTGTAAACCTAAGAGTCTTGGTGGTCTAGGCTTTAAGGATATTATTCTCCTTAATAAAGCTTACTTGTTAAAGCTCTATTGGAGGTTAATTAATTCTCCTAATGACCTTTGGACCCAGGTTATAAGGAGCAAATATAGGTTTGTTTTGGGGCATAATCCTTGTATTAGTTTCCCCCAAAAGGTGTCCCATCTATGGAAAGGGCTGGCCTCTGTATGGCCAATTTTTTCAAAGGGGCTGGGATGGACTCTTAGGGATGGCTCCACAATTAAATTTTGGACTTATATATGGCTTCCCAATCACCAATCTTTATTTGAGCAATCTATTTCTCCTGTTTCAGAAGCTGATTTATGTGCTCCTACGACTTTTTCTGCATCCCAGGGTGTTTGGCAGTGGGATAAGTTCAAAGATTATCGTCCTAATCCTATAAACCTTTTAATTAGTGAGATAAACCCTCCTTTTAGGACTGGGGTCATGATTTATTCTTTTAGAATTTAAATACTAATGGCAATTTCTCCCTTAACTCTGCTTATTCCCTGCTGTTGGATCTCCTCTTGAATTATACTTCTTGTAATAAGGTGTTTGATATGATTTGGAAGTGGAAAGGTCCATTGAAAATCAATCTATTTTTGTGAAAATTAGGGCACGGTAAATTGTTAACAAATTTGGAGTGATTTGATAGGAATATGGCTGATTCAACTTATTGTTCTAGGTGTGGTGAGGCCTCTAAGTCCATTGCTCATGTTCTTCAGGACTATTTTCATGCTAGACAGGTTTGAAGCCATTTTATTTTTTCAGATAATTAGGCTTTTTTCTTTAGCTGTAGTTTTGATCAATGAGTGAGCAGTAATTTATCCAATAGGTATCATAATAAATTTCTTGATTGGAATAGGCTGTTTGGTTTTGTAACTTGGCATATTTGGAAGGATAGAAACTCCTTTATTTTCCAAAATTTCTTTGTTTCTCCTAATCAATTGGCGCAAAGAATTATTTGGGAGTTTAAATATTTCAACTACTGGTATAATCATAACACTAATTCTGTTTTTGGTTCTGTGTTGCAGCAAGTTAGGGTTAGCTGAATTCCTCCTAGTCATGGTCATCTGAAGATAAATGTAAATGGCTCGGTTCAGATAAAGGGATGACTGGCTTTGGAGGTCTAATTCGAGATGAGAAAGGGTTCTTTATTGCTAGTTTTCATGGTAGTACCTCCCCTTGCACTCTCTTGGTTGCTGAATTGTAGACTATTTTTTAGGGAGTTACCCTAGTCATTAAGAAGGATATTCAGTGCATTTGGTTTGAAGGAGATTCTAATGATGCTCTCCATCTTATTTTAAATGTTCCTTCCAAGACACTCCATTTATTTGCTTTAATCTCTGATATCAGATCTCTGTTAAGACAAATTAATTTTGTTAGATTTAACTTTACCTGTAGAGAAGTCAGTCAATGTGCAGGTTGACTTACAAAGTTTGGAGCTGAGTGTTGTAGTCTTTGTATTTTGTTAGATCAACCTCCCTCCCTTCTATTGCCTTTTCTTTGTTTAGATGCTTGGATGCCTCTGGGTCCTGGGCTGTTAGACCCTAGTTGTGTTTTGCTGAGCTTTTACCCTCCTTTTTTTAGAAAAAAAATAAAAAATAAAACCGAATTAACACGAAACAATTGTATCTTAAAGGGTTAAGCATTCTTAGTACATATTTTAAACGATGTCATTGGCCATGCCCTATGAAAGTCTCATAGTCGTTAATTAATTCATTAACCATGACCTTTCTATGTAACTATTTAAGTGATGTCATAATTTAACCCGGGTCTTAGACTTATTAGACGCTGTAAGAAACCATGGTTAACACATCTTCATAAGATATTGGTATTATTAGTTAAAGTCTTAAATTTGATATTGATTGTCTACGAAACTCCTACCATACTCAATTGTAACGATAAGCTTTTTGACTACATTCAGCCAAAGCACATTAAGAATTGCCAGATAGTAATTTAAACAATTAACTCTAATAATAAGTCTTCTAAAACAATTGATCAAATGTTTAAAGTGACTTTAAGTTTGGAATAGGTATAATTTTCCTTGACAAAGTTATTCGCAGCAATTCACTTTAAATACTTTATATTTCATGTACCGACACGAAGGTCTTGGTCTTTCAAAAAGGAATATTTAGAATGTTTAGTAAAATTAAAAACTAAATATATAAAATAAAACAAACTTCTAGATCAATGGCAAGTAATTGGTTAAAGTTATATGTATATTTGAAAATAAAAAATAATAATAATAAAACCGAGACAAAAAACATATTTATTGTTTTATAATTTTACACCGAGTTTAATTTTTGTCTCTTTCGTACATTTATTTCCATTTTTAGTCTTAATTTTTTTTAAAAATAAATTTATCTCAACCACTAAATTCATCATAAATACTATAAAATTGTTCTCATGTGACATGACATCCATTTTGGTAACAATAACAGAACCCCATATATGGGTCTACCTATTATTATTATTATTATTATTATTATTATTATTATTATTTTATCAAAAGATCGGATAAATTTGTTGAGATTAAAAATAAATTTGGAGTTCATTTAATGAAAACATTTTTCCATACGAGAGGAATTAACAATAACTGAAGACAGGAGTAAATTATGATTTGAAGTTGATTTTCTTATTATGTTAAGGCTTTAAATCTTGAAATCGTCTATCCGTTTATAAGAAGATTAGACCTGAATATTCACTCCCGATCTATTCTTACATTTATACTTGAAGGAATATGGGTCAAAAAATTATATATGGGACAAAAACAAAGTTTAATTAATTGATTGTAGTCTTTTCTAATTAATATATACATTATAATAATACTTGTAAAATAAAATAAAATAAACAAATTCTTACTATTTAGGAAAAGAAATTGACTTCAGTATATAATTTATTAGTATTAATTTTTTAAGTACATTATTAAATAAAAAATTAATTTTGTTATTATGTAAAGTAATTTTTTATATATATTATATATTTAATTTAATGTTAATTTAAATTTTTAATTCTGTAAATAATAGAATATTTATTACTATAAAATATTAATATATTAATTTTATTTAATATGATAAAATATTATGATTAATAATTATATATTTACTTTTTAAAACTTTATAAAATTTCAAAACAGTCATATGATATATTTTTAATTATATATTTAAAAATAATTTAATTTATTAATTTCTGTGAAGTATACAAAATCTAATTCCAGTTATTTATATTATTTTTACATAATTATGCTATTAGAATTTCAATCAAGTATTTGCTGAACATAAAATTATTCATGAACATTTACTTAAAGCTTCATGTTTTAAGAGAAGATGTCATTCACATAATATCCAAATTTGTGTATATTAGATTATTTATTCTGAGTTTTGCCGTCATTTAAAAGATACACTTAAAAAAATACATTATAATTATTATTTTGAAAATTGAGAAATAATTTTTAAGTTTATAATCTACATGTATATATGCTTTTTAAAGATCGAAACAAAATTACAGAATATATAAATTATCTTAAATTAAAAGTTTAAAAACTTCATTTAAATGACTCAAACAAAAATATTAAATAAGCTATTTTGTCAAATGTATTAATCTTACAAATAACATAAAATATGAATATATAAGAAAAATTTTGAATGAAATAATGAATATCTTATAAAATAGAATAAGTTAAAAAGAAATCAATATTATTTTTTTATAACAAAGTTCACTATTTTTAAGTAACGAGATTTTAAAATCACATGATATCTTTTTAACATGACTAAATAAAGACGCTAAAAAAATATTTTTAATTTAGTACAAAGATCATATTTATTATTATAAAAAATAAATAAATTTCGTTAGTCATCTACTATTATAATATCACTACAACTCAATTAATCTATCCTATAAATATTATCTACATGTACTCAAGAAATGATAAATCCAATGACATCTCTCAAAACGAAATAAGATTGTATTTAAAATTAACAAATAATAATGTTTCTTAAATTATTTGATAAAATTCAAAATATGACATATAATTAATTTTTTTTTATAAAAAAGTATTTTATTTCTTTAATGCCAAAGTAATTTTAGACATATAATATGTTTTAACGTACATTTAAAATATTCAATAAATAAAAAATAGCGTAATTTAAAAAGTCATCTTTAAATTAGTAATTTAATTATTTATATAATAATAAATTAATTTGTTTTATTTTGTTCCGCTTTTTAAACAAAATATATCTTTAAACTAAAATATCTATTATCCTTTTATTAAAATTATTCTCTTTCCTCCTTTTGAATCAAACAATACGTTAAACCTAAAATTTAACATATGCAAGGGCATTAAAATTTCATTCTTATGATAGTAAATTCATTTTTTTTTCATAACTTTAGACATAGTCGTCTCTTCTTTGACTTTACTACACTATATACTTTTAAATTGTGAATAATGGGGTTAGTTTGGAATTTCGTCACACCAGCTCCCGAGTAATAAAATAAACAAATCTCTCTTCCATTTTTCTTTCAGCTTTTCCCCTCTTTAATTTCTATGCAACTTTCTTTTTCTTTAAGTCTTTCTTTTTTATTTTCTCTCTTGAAATGATTAATCATTTTTAAATTATCAATACTCAAATACTAAATTTGACTCTTTTAAGATTATAAAATATTTTAATTCAATTTAATATTGGATAATTCATAGATCGATATTGAATTTAGTTTTGTATAATTCAAAACTAAAGTCACAATGGTTGGGTAAGAAACATTCGGAATGTCCACAGGTATTTTTCTTTTCTCCCTCTATAAAAAAAATCATATTTATAAATAAAAATACTGTCAATTTTATAAGAAAATTAATTTTAGTTTTTAGTGACTTAAAGGCATACCGTGATCGATGTTTACTTTTGGACAAAAAGAACCTAATCCTCGTCAGCAGAATGCCCTTAATTTGTTTCATATGATTATAGAACTTTTATTAATATTTTTAAAAATATATTAAAAATAAGAAAGAAAACAAACTATATCCATCTTTATCAATTATCTCATATAAGTATATCTTTATCGCGATAACTTAATTAAAACGTTATAAAAATTTACAAAAGACAATTGAAAACACAATCACATGCACTAACACCTACGAAAGCAATTGAACCCAGACTTAATAACCATCTGTAAACATTACGATAAAGAGAAAAAGCGATCTATTAAACGGGTCTGAACATTCACTCATAAAAATAAAATAAAAACTATGTAGATGAATATAAGTACGGTAGTACCTTACTAAAATCTATATTAATATTCACATGTTATTTAATATATTAAATTCGAAATAAACTACTACCGTTATGCAAATCATTCTAATTATGTCATTTACAATATTTTTACGCAAAACTCTATACATAATGTATAACTAATCAACGTTAATGTATAATTTTTAGCATATCATGGAGGATGCATACACCATACTTATAAATTAGTTATTTTATAAGTTTATTTTGTTAAATTTATTTTTTGTTAGTATGTTTTCTAATTAATTTAATATGCTCATTTTTAAGTTTAATTAAATATTTATTGTTATATATTGTTTGGTATGAAATAATATTTTTATTAAAGTAAAGTGTTACTAATCTTAGACCTTATTTTTCATTTAAGTGCTGCCATATACTCTTTTCGATCATTACGGCAAACTAGCGAAATATTAATAAATAGACCCTAAAAAATTTAATAAATAACTGTTGAATTAAAAAATGTATTATACACTCTTTCTATTATTTTTAATGTATTTTTAACACAATATTTTAGTTATTAACTAATATTTTTAATATACTGTTCTGTAAGACCTTTATTGATTTTTATCTACTCCTTCCATTTTAAATTAGGAGTTATTTTCATAAAAAAATAATATTAAGTGAAAATTTAATATTTAATGAATATTAAATATTTTATTTTAATTCTACAAAAACTTAATATAATGATTTTTAATAATCTATGAATTAAGTTTTCAATAAATAAACAAAAATTAGTAAAACTAATTTAATAAAATTCATCTACTAATTAATATATTTATTTTTTATTAAAAAAATATAAATAATAATAAAATTTATATTATAAATTAAAATATTCTATTTGAGAAATAAAAACAACTATCTCTCACGATTTGTCATTGTCATGTGTACTTTTAAGTTAAATTTATTTAAAAATAATAATATAAATCATATTCTTTCTTGTCACAATAATTTTATTTTAATTTTTTCTATATTTTAGATATAAATTTTGTTAATTAAATTTATTTTATTATTTTATATAAATTTTTAGATTTTTCTTGAATCTCTACTTTTATATTCATAAATCTTTTCTTATTTCTTTATATAAAATGTTAATTTTTTACAAATATATTTATTTATATAATATTTATAATGCTTAACATATTATTTTTATTATTTTGAAATAAATTATATTTTAAAATTATTATAATTTTATTAAATTTTTATCATTTGACACATTATTTTTGTGATTATAAAATGAAGACAAAATAATTGTTTTAAATTAGTATTTCAAATAATTTTATTATTATTATTATTAGTACTTCAAATTACTAATCAATTAATTTAAAATAAAAGAACTTATAACTCCAATTAAAGTTGCTTTAATGCCGTAATGAGCATCGCTAAAGATCGATAATCATTCTCACGTTGAACCTGGTGTGCATGGTCTGGCCAATGACGAGCCAAGAAAATATTGAATATTCACGTAGGTGAGACTTTCCTATGAACTCAAATAGCCGCTTTTTCTTTTCAATTTTGTTGAGTACTATTGAATCACAACTCGCGCATTTGTCTTTATAATGTTATGTATATTTACTGAGTGATATCAGTGTCCCACAACTACTAGTAAATTAACTGATCTTCTCTATATATTTGAATAACTCTAAGGTATTTTAGTATAAAGATATATAAATTATTTTTCATTTGAGATATTATAATTCTATCATTATTACTATTATAGTTTTGTTCTTGTTATGACATTTTTTTTTTATTTTTTTAAAGACTTTATTTATCTCGGTCTTATAATCAAGTTTAAATATTCAAATATAATATTTTTATATTAAAGATATGAAAATATAATTTTTTTTAAAATATTATATTTACATATTTAAATTCAAAATCTTAAAAATTGAAGTTAATAAAGTCTCTTGTTTTTTTATTCTATCATTTATCATATTATATATTTTTTTTCTGCTTTTTCTCTCCACTCATTTTATGTCCCTACCATGGGATGTGAAAAAAAATTCATTTTTGTTACAAGCTATTACCTTGTTGACAAGGAAGTCCAGAAGCAACTTATATATAAATGGAATTAACGGAGACAACATCTCTCATATATACAGTAGTAAACAAAAGGCAGAGATGAATTCAGCCAATGTCTTGTCATGTTTTTTCATGGCTTTGTTTTACGTGCAGGGATCGAAAGGATGTTTGGAGAAAGAAAGGGTTGGTTTGTTAGAGATAAAGGACTACTTCCACGTTCGATATAACTTTCCAACTTGGAATGCTAGTGATTCTAACTGTTGTGGATGGAGCGGTGTTGTATGCGATCAACCCACTGGGCGTGTGACGGATCTTCTTCTTGAAAGTCTTCACTCTGATCAAAAGGTTATGAACTTCTCATTGCTGCTTCCTTTCCAACAGTTAGAGTATCTTGATTTATCAGACAACTATTTCAATGGTTCCGTTGTGATTGAAGGTAAAGTACCTTAAATATTACCCTAGAATTCTCATGGTTCTTTTTCTATGTATGTCATGCATGGGCATGCTTTCAACTTAATCTCTTCGCTAAATTAAAACGTGAGGCTTACGAAAACTTTGTTTATAGCTTAATATTGTAATTTATCAAAAATTTATAAATTTGAGGCTCTTGTTATTATTTTTTTTAACATAAGATGTAATAAATATTGTTCTCCTATATTCATGTGCTAATTATAATTTAATTAGTATCTCGCAGTTGCCACTTTCTTCTTATTTATTTCTATAATACAAATTTAAGTTCTAATTTTTAAAATAAGATAATTTCTTTATGTATGGAGATAAAGCTCATTGAGATAGCAAAGCTCAAGAATGGTTGGAAAAAATTATTTCTTTTTAGTGAACACATGTGTTCATAAATTAAAAAAATATTCATATTTAAAACTTATATTGTGAAAATTATCAAAACTTAACTTAATAAATAGAAAATTGTTTATATTTTGATTTTCAAATATCTCATTAAATAATATTGGCTGAAATTTTGAGTATTAGTTTATCTCAACTTTAACTTTGATCTTATGAATCTATTTTAGGCATGGAAATAGGTAAGGTCGCCTGATAGAGTCTTGTGGCCTGGCCTAGTTTAGGCTTGTTTAAGTAAATAAGTCAGGTCTGAGTTATTTATAAAGCCTGACAGACCAGCCTATATAATATATATATATTATAATTTAAAAATAGAGCTGTTAAAATATATTTAAATAATAAATTTATTTAATAATATATTTTTTATATTCTTAATTCTATTATTATTAAATTAATATATTATGTTATAATTATTTTTATTTATAATTATAATAAATAGAAATTATAATCTATTAAAAATATTTATACACGATTATACTTTTTAAATAATAAATTTATTTAATAATAAATTATTATATTTGTTATATTTAAACAAGTTAAAGAATAATTAAGTCTTTGAACATAAATAAGATGTAATTAAAACTAAATGAAATAAAATTTAAAAATAAAATAATAAAATTATATTAATATATTTTTTATACTCTTAATTTTATTATTAGTAATTTAATTATTTAATTATTATATTAATATATTATTTTTAATTTTTTTCTTTTATAATAAATAGAAATTATTTAAATATGAATTATATTTTATTCAAAACTAAAATTTTATAAAAAATTATAGAAAAATAAAATAAAAAATTTAATGTACAATATACATATATAATAGGACCATATAGTAAATAATATAATTTTAAATAAATTATGTATAATAATATAAACTTTTATAACTTACTATGTGTTTTACTTTTATTGGTATAAATTTTTTTTGACTAAAGTACCCATAAAAAATAATTTAAATACTAGGTCCATAACACACAGCCACATACTTAAATATAAATATGTCAAATTTTAATTATTTTATATTATATTCAAAACTAAAAATATTTATACACGATTACACATGTTTAAAAAATAAATTTACTTAATCATAAATTATTACATTTGTTACATTTAAATAAGTTGAAGAATGTCTAAGTCTTTGAACAGAAATAGGATACAGTTAAAATTAAACGAATTAAAATTTAAAAATAAAAATTAATATTCAATTATTATATTAATATATTATGTTATAATTATTTTTATTTATAATAAATAAAAATTACTTAAATATGAATTATATTTTATTTGAAAGTAAAAATTTATAAAAAATGATAATAAAATAAAATAAAAGACTTATTATAATACATACACACACACACACACACACACACATATATATATATATATATATATATATATATATATATATATATAATCAGACCATGTAGCAAATAATATAAATAATATAGTTATAAATAAATTATATAATAATATATATTTTTGTAACTTGCACATGTTTTAATTAAATTATTAGTTAATTTATTAATTTATATGTAATATATAAGAATGTGTTTTAATTTATTGTATCAGTAATATTTTTTATATTATATTAACGTTATAGTATAGTTAATTTTATATTTATTTATTAATTTAAAATAACAAATTAATGAAACAAATAAAATTAAATATTTTATAATTATTTTTTAATTTAATAATTATTATTATTATCATTATATATATATATATATATATATATTGCATTAAGTTTAAATTTATTTATTTTTAAAAATATAATAATTTTCTTTTAATTGATTCAACAAATTGTGTAAATTTTATTTTTTGTAATCAATTTTATGTGTTTACTATAACTTTATTTGTTGAATATAAGATATCTTTAAATAAATAAAATATGTTTCTAAAATAAAACTAAAATCTTTAATACTTATATAATTTTTAAAAAATAAATCAAGAAAAATATAAATATAAATGTTATAAATATAAAATATTTATAATTAATACTTAAATAATATTTTAAAAATTATTTATAAAATTATATAATTATTATTATAATTATTTAATAATTATTAATAACATAGATAAAAATTAGAAAAATATGTAAACTAATTTGACAATAAAATATTTATATTTTTATTAATATTAAAATATTTTTTTTATAATAGGCTTTGTTAATAGACTTCAAGTCAGATCAAGCCACTTAAATAGATAAGGCCTACTTAGAGTAAAACTTGACCTCACTTATCCTGTTTCCATCTCTAGTCTATTTGATGAAAAATATATATAAGAAAATAAATCATAATATTTTTCTTACTTTATCATAATTTTAGCATTTAATTAACTATCATACATATTTTGATCCTTCTCTCTTATAAACTTATATTAATATTTTTTTTCTAATGTAAATTTTTTTATCCGAGAATGCTTGAGTTATAAATAAATAAAATATAATTATATTATGAATTCAATTTATTATTTCAGTATATATTGAACTAAAATAAAAAGTCTATTATACTCTTGTTCTATCATATGTTATTTTTTAACTCATATTCATTTTATTTTATTTTATTATGTTTATGAAACATCTTAAAAGTTTGACCTTTTGTTTTAATAGTTCTAAATTAAGATTAAGATTGTAGTCCTTATAATTATAAAGGGGTTAGAACATTTTTATAATGTAAAATATATAGTTATTAAATTTGTATAATAAACTGTAGACACTAAACCCTTTTACTTAATAAAGTAACGAAATTGTTCAAATTTCCTTGAGGTATTTATTAATATATTTTTGTTGTTTATTTATATATAATTATATAAGGTCTAAAAAACTTGTTTGATATGCGACTTTTCTTAATTCAATAAGTTTTTTTGAAAAGCTTAAATATTTAGCTTTTTTTAATAAATAGGTTAAGTTAAATAAGGCCTTAAGCAGATTAAGTCGCAGGCTCTCAACATGGATGATTCATTTCCATTTCTAATAAAGACTTGGCATAGACTTGAGTCAAATTTATTATCATATAGAAAAAGTAAGATCAATTAGATTTAATTTATCCATGTTCTCGCACTGGTTTTTCTTATTAGTCTAGTTTAAAATATGTTTTAAAAAAATGAGATAAACATGTTGTGTGAAATAAAAAGAGAATAATATAGAGTTTATTCTATTTTTGAAATAGTCGAGTATGTTTTCGAATAATATAGAGGTTCTTCACTTTAAGAAAAGAGGAAATGTCATTTTTAAACTTTTGAAATTTAAGTTTCAATATTTTTGTCCCTATATTATGATATTTGCTGTACATTTTAAAAAACGAGATAATCTTTATATGTTTTCTTTTCATGTATAATCACGAGTCTTCATTGTGATATGTGTTCTATAAGTTTCTATAAATCAACATTTTTCAATTAATTATCAAATAAAAGTAGACTTATAATTTCTTTAATTATTTCAATCAATACTTAAATTTCGTCAGTAAGTATAATAGAATATTTATAAAATATTATTAAAATAATATTCTTTAATTCTATTAATTTGTTATATTTTTCAAAAATAAAAAGTTTCAAACTTGTATATTTCATATTTTAATTTATATGTTTTTTTGTTAGTAATAAAATAACAATTCTTTAAATATTTTTAGTTTTATATCTTTTCACATTTCATATGTACTCATGCAATTAACGAAATAATTATACCATATACTCTTTATATTTTAAAATACTTTTCTCTTTTAATCTTTTTTTTATTCCACCGATGTTACGTAATTCTAATATAATCTTAAATATATTTTCAAAATTTCTTTTAAATTGTTTGTACCATTTAATTTTTGCTTAAATTTTTCCAGTATAATGAACATTTTTATTTGCTTATAAATTATTAATAGGTCTTTTAATTGTTGCTTCAATTAAAGAGGGTTTTAAAAATTAAATTATCAATTTCTTATTTAAAAAATCAATAATATTTTAAAAATAAATAAAACTGTTGAAATTATATAATAAATAAATATTTCAAAATTAAGAAAATATTTATTCAATAAATTAAAAGAATTCATATTGAAATTTAATATAGGACCACCAACTCTCATCTACCTCTTACTTGCAAAATATACTCTATAATTTACGACATATTATTCATCTCTAGTGAATATGCACAGGCCTTTGTGGATTGAAGAATCTGCTGGAACTGGACATGAGTCATAATTTTATTAGTAGTCTTCCCAAGTGCATGAGCAACTTGACAAGCCTTACGGTACTTGATATTTCATCAACTACTCTGACGGGGAAATTTCCTTCTTTCATCACAAGTCTCAACTCACTCAAATATTTCTCTCTCTTTGATAGCAATGTTGATGGCTCATTTTCATTCAACTTATTGGTTAACCATTCAAAACTTGAGGTTTTTTTGCTGTCATCAGTTGCTCATAACTTGCATGTAGAAACTGAATCTTCACCATGGCTCCCAACTTTTCAATTGAAGGCTCTTCAACTTGGAAACTGTAATTTGGATTCTATTCCCAGTTTTCTTTTGTATCAGCATGAGTTAAGGCTACTTGATCTTTCTCGCAACAAGCTGCATGGAGAGTTTCCAACTTGGATCTTAAATAACAACTTAAAATTAGAGACCTTGCGTTTGGCAAGTAACATGTTCACTGGAACTTTGCAACTTCCTACCTCCCAACATGGTTTACTTAACCTAAGAATTTCAAGCAACAAGTTTGGTGGTCAAATCCCAAAAAGCTTCGGTAGTATCTTCCCAAATCTCTCCTATGTAAATCTTGCTCAAAATAATTTTGAGGGTAGGCTTCCATCTTCAATGGTTGAAATGCTAAGGGTAAAGATATTGGACTTGTCCAATAACAAATTGTCAGGAGAATTTCCAAAACATTTTTTCTCAAACTGGTCCTCATTGATTCTGCTGAATTTATCTCACAACAACTTCAGTGGAAGGGTAATTCCGAAGTTTTCCCATCATGCAAAATTAAACTTTTTGTTTTTAAATAACAATCACTTGGGTGGAAAACTTGAAGATGGAATTTTCGACAAGTCTTCATTGATAGCCATGGACATATCAAGCAACATGGTATCAGGGAGGATCCCTAGATGGATTAGCAACTTTACATCACTCAAATTACTTTCAATGTCAAAGAATCTTCTAAAAGCTGAGGTTCCCATTGAAATGTGCAGTCTAGTTGTCATCGAGTATTTAGACCTTTCAGAAAATAGTTTATCTGGATCCTTGCCTGAATGCTTGCTTCATATGGATTTGTTGAGATTCTTGCATTTGCAAAAGAATGCTCTCAAAGGTTTTATGCCAAACAATATCTCTGACATTTTATATTCATTAGACCTAAGGGACAATGAATTTTATGGACAAATTCCAGATGTGATGTTTTCCAATTTTGCCCAATTGAGGTACCTTTTATTGGGAGGGAATGAACTGAATGGTAGCATTCCTATCACCTTGTGTGATTTAAATGAACTCAGGATTGTGGATCTTTCAAGAAATAGGCTCACTGGAATAATACCTTCATGCCTTGCCTACAACTCATTTGCAGTGGACCCCATGGATGGTTGCCAAGCACTTACTAGTATATTCCTATGTGTTGGAAATAGAGAACCATTGCAATCAGACTGGTACATCCTTGAACAATCAGATACTTCATTCAACACCGGTTTGGTATTGAACAAAAATTCTCTTGATGATGTGTATTTGATTATTCAGCCGCAACCAGCAGAGTTTAGAACAAAGAATAACATCTACTATTACACAGGGAATATCCTAGAACTGATGTCTGGATTGGATTTGTCATGTAATGAATTAAGTGGTAGCATTCCACCAGAAATAGGGTTCTTAGGAAACATCAATGCCTTGAACCTTTCACATAACCACTTATCAGGAACTATACCTCAAAGCTTTTCCAATCTTGTGAAAGTGGAGAGTTTGGACCTTTCCTTCAATAACTTGAGTGGTGCAATACCATCTAATTTGACTATGTTGTACTTTTTGGCCATCTTTAATGTCTCATATAATAACTTGTCAGGTTCAACTCCTACTGCAGGACAATTTGCTAGCTTTGGTGTGGACAACTACAAAGGCAATCCAGGTCTTATTTTTAGTCCATTTAACACAATCTTGTCACCTCTTCATACATCTCCAGATATACAAAGATATGAAGGAGAAAATTGCACAACCATTGAGTTGGTTTCTTTCTACTGGGGATTTGTTATCTCTTTGTTCACAGTGTTGTTGGTCTTATCACTAATTCTCTGGTTTAGTCCCTATTGCTGCAAAATTTGGTTTCAGTTTGTGGATTTTTGTATATATTATTGTTTTCCATGCTTTTTCAGGAATGGTCTCTTCTAAGCATCTAGCTTTTATTAATAAAACGTTGAGGGGTGGGGTGTTGAACTAAGCTCTTGTGCCAGCGATTCGCTATTACTCTATAATATACTTTGTTGCTTTAATTCAATATGTAGTATGTGGTCTGCTACAGAATATGTTGTGTAAAAAAGCCTGTAAACAAAAATAAATAAAAGTAGTTCTATGTGCTTTCATATTCTTTTTGAAGTCTTTGATATGACAATCAATCAAATTTATTTGTGTGCAGGTTTCTTGTTATTGGCGTATTATTACCACATAACATCTATATGTGCTATTAAGATATATTTTTCATTGGAAATTCTCCTTCATTCTCTCTTTCTTACCTGTTTTTAGTAATACCTACTCTTTACACAATTTTTTCAAAACGGTTTATATTTATGTGCACCCTTATACCTATAGGTTTGTACTTCAAAAATTTATTATTCTTATTAATATTGGATCTTTTCAAACCCTTTATTTTATGTTTGCTACATTATGTACAATGGTTGTAATTAATTTATCGAAACAGAAATGTGATGAAAACCAAAAGGAAGTCACTGCATGAAATTGGAGATTACCCATAACTAAGTGCTCAAATAAACTTCGTTAACTGTAAGAATTTTGTTCTTGCGGATCATTAATATGCCGAGTCTTAACATTTTTATATTGCTCATTGTTAATAACTGATTATGTATAGTCTCCAAATTTCAGGCAATACATACTAACAAGTCTAACTTTTTAGAAGTTGATACTTCAAAAGTTCAAGTTACTCAAGTTGGTGTCTTAAAATAACAATTTGCATTCCTTTTATAAGTTAACGTAAGTTGTTAAGATAAAACAAGTAAAAAAACATACTTCAATTATTTTTATCATGATTTGCACAATTTTATATTTTATCTAATAATTTATTAATTTTAAGTAACTGATTAAGAGTCACCGAGCAACAAACATATGACATTCATTTTCTTCTAGTCATGTGCTTGCAAATTAAGGAATGTTATCATAAAGACTTTTATTAATGTTCATGTAATTTGACTTAGATAATTGTTATTTAATTTTCATATACTTTGTTAAATTGTGGAAGATAACTAATAATTAATGTTATGCAAGTATTTTAGTTTATTATCTTCCTGTATCTATTGAATGATATTATTGCATTACTTATTTATTTTAGGAAATTTTTTAATTTATGAGCAGGTTCAAAAAAATTTGAAAGATAAAAGAAAATGAATTTTCTCTGCTGTATTTCAAAATTTTGCAGCAGCCATAAATATTTATGAATTACTTCTATTAAAACTTTCTACCATTAAGAAATCTTGCAACTTTTTTCAATTTTTTTAATTTGATGATGGTCATCAAATTAACAGCAAATTAACAGCCGTAACATTTTCTAAGAAATCACTTTTTATTCTCTTTTTTTGGCAGCGGTTATAGCGACTGCAATCATTTTCATCATTTTTTCCGATCATGTAATTTTATAAAATGCATTACTCATTTGACATTTCAGCTTTTTTTTTTTAATCTTATAACTATTGTAACAATCATTACTTTCACTTATAATTGCTGCAAAAATCCGTTTTCATTGTAGTGAGAGCAGAAAATATAACTCAATTCTAATTCTATTTGCAAGTAAAAAAAATGTAATATAAGATTTGAATTAGATGCTTTTTTACTAATACTCTAAATGCCATTAATTGTTTTGGACTTCCTCTCCATATTTTACTTAAAGTTGGAAATTCAGGTATATTATTGAGAAACGTTAATCAATCGAATGTATTATTGTATGTACTTAAACAAAATTTATTTTAACTATGCTAGTGAAATTCTGATATGCAAATTCCTTTATAAATTTTTATATTTTTGAAAAATTTTGTACAACAAAGTAAAAGATAGTATTTTTTTAATTTTTTTTTAGATATTGAATGTATATCTTAAGTTAATTTTTTAGTTTCATTGCCTGAAATAAAAATTAATTTAATATTCAATATAATATTTAATATTTAAGTTGTAAAAAATATTTTATAAGAATATATAATTATTTCATTAAAATATTCATTGGTTAAAAGGAAAGTTAATTTTCCTTCTACTTAAGACACAACCAACGTGCTAAAAAATGTCAAGATTATAAATGGATAGAAAAGTTTACGTTAATATAATATAATATTTAAGTTAAAAGGCATTTATGTCATATGAGAATATAAATTTTAAATAAAAATTAACATTAAAATATTTAAATCACGTGATAAATATAAGAAAATAGAACTTCCATAAATATATATAATCTAAATTATGGGAATGAATATTTATATCGCATATAAATAAAAAATTATATATAGAAGAATTTGGTGATTTTTTTATGTGATGTGAATTTTTTTCATGTGCTATTTAGATGTAAGTCTACTTTCATAAAAATCTAAAGATTTGTTCTTACAATTCAAATTCTATTTTTTATTTAAATTTTTTATTTTTATGTAATGTAAATATTCATATATGTTTATTTATAGTTAGTTCTTTAACTTTATTCAAATATTATTTTACTACCATCTATGTTCATTTAAATAGACTTAGATTTAAAAGATTTTTTAAATGGTCTAAAATTTTACATTTTACATAAATAGTTTATAAAAAAATTAACTTAATCTATTTATTAAATAAACTGCCTAATTGAACTAGGTCTAATGTAAGTCGTCATATACTCCAATGAAGAGTAAAATCTATTTCCGCTCCTACTAATCAATTTATAAAAATACTTGATATCATACATTTTCCTTGCATGCAAGCATATCTAGTGAAAACACGATTATTGGATTACTTTTATTCGTATTATTAGCAAGATTAATATCAACACTACAATTGATAGATCAGCGAGTCGTGTTAAAAGTAAAAATAAATTGCGGGACAGTAATAAAAAATAAAATCAAAATTTGAAGTTGTAAAATTATATATAAAAAATTGATAATTTACATATCAAATAATACTAATAAATTAAATAAGATAAATATCTAGTTTCAAATAGTCATTTTGGGATAAGTTACTCAATATATTCGTTTACTTGTGAATAAGTTTGAGAAAATTATCTTTAAAGTCTTGATATACTTGTTTTGGTTTCACGTTAAATTATCTTTTAAATGATCTCTACCTTACTACTCCTGTTGACCTTGCAAGTTAAAAAAATTGAAAAAGCTTTAAGTGTTAGTATGTTTATTAACTAAATAACTAATTAATAACTTAAGGTTATGAGTAATCGTCAAAACCTTAGATCTAGTTTATCCTATATTTTCATTGATTAAGATTAGTTCGATCACTCCTCTCTCGCAACTAGATAACATGCACACAATTAGCTAAATCATAACATTCAAGTAAACACAACAAAAATAAACACAATTGGAGAAAAGGAAACATATATGCTATAAATAATAATAATAATAATAATAATAGGATTTACATCCTAGGTTGTCATAACCCCAGTCATGATCTCAATTACACATAATATGAATTAACCAAAAACTAAAACCATGAAGGAAAACTTTGAATAAAAAATAAGAGAAGAAAAATATAACCCAACAAGAGTAGGCAAATGTCGGTCTAATGAAAAATAAATCCAATCCTTGTAGCAAAAATGTTATAAACCTGCTTGGTGCACTTTGAGAGAGAGAACGAATCAATAAAGAAAGAGAGAAGTTAAAAGAAAAAAAGTAAAAGGTTGTCTTGTAAGTAAATTATCAATTTGGTTTGTATTATTTTTAAAATTGTATTAAAATAATTTATAAATTAAGTAAAAAATTATTTTAATTTTTAATACATATAATTATTAATTATTTTAATTTTTAAAATTTTAAAAATCTATTAAAATAGTTCATAATGTAAATAAAATATTATTTTAATTTTAACGCATTTAATTATCAATTAATTTAATCTTTAATGTATATATTTGTTAATTGTTTAGACATTAGTTATTATAACAGACAAACTAATTTAACAAATGTTAGTTAATCATGTTATATAAAATTTAATAATAACATGATAAAGTAATATTCTTTAAATTTTTTTTAAAAAAATTTGTTAATTTAATTTTTAAATAATTTATAAACTTAAAATTTTATGAAGACTAAATTAATTATTTTCGCTACGTTATCATTAAATATCATATATTATGTTTACATGATATTTAATATGTCAAATTATTTTATCCTTAAAATAACTAATATTTAAGTCATGATACAAATAAATTATCGATAATTATATATATATTAAAGACTAAAAAATAAGATGATTACATGCATTAAAAATTAAAATGATAATTTATTTAGATTATAAATTATTTTTATGAAATTTTGAAATTATAGAAATTAAAATAATTATCAATTGCATATATTAAAGATTAAAATAATATTTTACTTAATTTATAAATTATTTTGATGTATTTTTAAAATACTAAGACTAAATTAATAGTAGTGTGAATATGGGCTTTAAAATGTAGATAGTAGTGTTATGGGCTTTAAAGCCCACAACTTACAATTTCCTACACTTTACTCCCTTTTGTTTTACTTTCATTTTCTTGACCTTTCTCAAAAATAAACCCTCTTCGAATCAAACTTCGGATTTCTGTTTTCCTTCCTCACTCTATTCACCCCATTTCTCATCTCTTTGGGGTCGATTTTGCGGTGATCGTGTTTGTGCATTCAGACAGGAGTTGATTTCTGTTTTCCTTCCTCACTCTATTCACCCTATTTCTCATCTCTTTGGTCGATTTTGCGGGGATCTTGTTTGTGCATTCAGACAGGAGTTGATATCTTCAACTATTCCTTCTTTCTGTTGTTGGCTCTTCTCGCTCCAAACTGAAATAAACCATTTTGTGTGTTTACTGGGTAAGTTTTCTGAGTGTTTTTATCATGGTTCATCTGTTGCGCAGCATGTGTTTGATTAATTTCCTGCACACCATGTGTTTGATTAATTTCCTGCACTACCTTACCGTCATTGTACTGTTTCAGGGAAACTCTAATGGCCGCCAAGGCATCTTTAATGATGCCATTTATGTTAATTGGTCTCATTGGTGTTGTTTGTGCTTCTGTCTATGATGATCAGTTTTGTGGCCATGCTACTCTCTTTGATGCTGCTGGTGCTTCTTTTTTAGGTATCATGTATTTGTTAGCAAAATCGTTATCTTTTGGGTCTATTGTGCTTGTTTCCATTCATATGGTGTGTTGAGTGACCAGTGGTGTCACATTTTCATGTAGGAGGGGCAAGTGGTAATGGGAATTACGGAGCTAACACTGCATTACTAGACGAAACTTCCTATAAAAATGGTTTGATGCATAATGCTTGCTTTAGAATAGACTGCGCCTGTAAGCCTCGGTGTAAGTCAGTGACCACTAATGTTACTATTACTGGCCATTTCCGACCAAATTCTACTTTTTCCTGCAATAATGGATCGGGCAACCCTTTGCTACAATTCTTATTGCAAAAAGGAACCTTGCTGACAATCGCTAATGACAAAGTTACCGATACTCCAGTGAATGCTAGAAGGTTTGTACGTGCAGATCAACTATGTATTGGATAACATAATATTTTGCAATCCTATCTTGTGAATCTAAGATTAGAGGATTTATGATGTATTTAGGTAAACAGCTTAATTAAACTTTTATTTAATAAATTATTAATACATGAGAGTTTATATCATAAATTTTATCTTGAAATTTATTAGAATAAGGTAAAAGAACTTATTAAGTTACGTGAGTAAACTTATTGAAATAAGTTAAAAGAACTTACAGGAATAGGAATTATAAGTTACTTTCATGAACTAGAATAAGTTATAATGGCTTGTTACTAATGTCTCTGAGTTCGTATAGTTTTATTAGTTCTACTTCACCACTGACTATATTTGGCGACGGTGACAGGGCGTTGTGTGGGCGAGTAGGGGGCATAAAGTTTACAATCACAGGCCACGATAACTTCACCCGGGTTTTGCCAGAAAATATGGCAGGTGCAGGGAATATTAAAAAACTGTTTATCAAAGGGTCAGGAGATAAGTGGCAACTCATGCAATGGGATGGGGACGGATACTGGCGGATCAACTGCTCCTTCATTGGAGAAAGTCTCTCTTTTCGGATCATTGCCGGTGACGATGCAAGATTGTCATGCAACACTGTATTCGACGCCCAGTGGACTCCTGGCCAAACTAATGACACTACTGGGTGTCAGTTTAATCCGAGTGGGACACACAACTAAAGTTGGCAGGCAGTCTTTTTCCTTATATATACAGAATCTCTATGCTTCAGTTTTCCCCAAGTTAGCATCAGAGACTTTGCTTTAATACGTGATTGAATTTTGTGGAATGTTCATATTTAGTTATTTTTATTTCCATTCTGTTGAAAGATCATTTAACCAACTTTACCTGGTGGGATGACCCATGATTGTTGTAGTTTTGTAGAAAGATTATTCTATCAAAAGGAAAATCGAGTTCTACCGTCGAACTGCGCTGTTGGATACATTTGAAATTATACGGTCAATAACAGAATGTTGGGGGATAATGACATCTGAAAATAAAAAATCAATGATTAGTTAGCTCGGTGGTTGGAGGGAAGATACGAAAACATAAAACAAGATTGTCATAGTCTTAACAAATTCATTATTCAAGAAACCTTTTTCCTCTCTTGTTGACAAGTGATCCAGTCGTAGTGTTTGAATAGGCAGAGATTTTAAACGCTACTAATTATAACTTTTGGAGTTATATTTGCAAGTTTTTTAACTCTTGACATTGTTTGAAGTTAGAGTTTTGATTTAAAATTTAATGGTTAATCTATTTTATGTTATCCAAAACTCACATTTAGTTACAATTAAGTCACAAATATTCCTAATAAATGTCAACACTAACTTAATAGTATTTTTCTATTATATCTATCACTGTGTTTTATAGTAAAGTTTTAGTCAATAATAATACATAAAGAAAAATATTAAACTTAGTTCTATAAGCAATTAATAATAATAAAATATTTATTATATTTTTATAACTGTGTTTTTTCCATAAAAATTTTCTATTATAAATGTTTAAATTCAACTTAAAGAAACCTCTACACTTACAAATTTAGGCGATTTAACAGCTGACTCAATTCTAAACAGAAACTTTTGGGCTTTCATTGCAATTAAATCAACCTGAAAGAGAACAAAATGGAAAATAAAAGTTGATTAGTTTGTTTTTTGGCATCATATAAATACATTTAACTTGTTTCAAAATAAACAACCAATGCATCAATTATCAAGGTTGATAAAAAATATGAGAAAAAGAATATACATAGCACCTATCCTATGAGAAAATAAAATAGTAGTCCCCAATACTTTTGATATAAATTATACTCGATATATATAAACCAAATATAATGAAAGAAGACGCAAAAAAACAATAATACTGTGGATGATTACGATACCAGTTGGGGGGCATGGAAGATGGGGAAACGGGACACGATTGGAGCATGAAATATGGCGAACTGGGCTTTGATTCCATGGTGATTGGTGGCTGAGTCGTTGAGGAGTGTAGTGGTAGAGGCTTGATGGCTTGGACAATGGAAAGAGGGATCAAAGGCTATGGGTATGTGAAATTAAACTCGTAAACACTGAAACCTTTCATTACCTCTTACGTTAATCACTATATATCTCTTCTACGTTAAATATCCATGGTTTAAGTGATATCATTGATTTGCAAGACCTGAAAGTTAACCTTTAGACGACTTAATTTGCAAGACTCGTTTGGCATGTATGTGCGGCGGGGGTTAATATGTCTAAACATCAAGTCACCGTGAACAAAGAAGGATATTCGATACAAAAGAATAGGAAAATCTTACTCTCTTATCCGTGATATGGTGGCGAGGAAATTCTCTGAGTGGTTCCAAAAGTGTGTGCATACGTCAAAGTAGTGGGGGCAAAGAAGTAGCTGCTTCTTGGTGCTGCATGTGAGGCGAAATTGCAGAGAAGTGTGGCATGGGAAATTACTCATGCAAGGACAAAGAAAGAACATGAAGAAAGATGGTTTAGTTTGACCATCAAAGCAGCCCAAAAAAACAAGAAAGAGAAAAAAAAACGTGTTTACATTATTTATTTTAGTTATTTAACACTACACATTAACTCAAGAAAAACCAGTGCTTCAAGTATTTGTGACTAGCGCCATTTCTAATTCTTACTCAACACTTCCAAATTTTCAATCCGACGACTAAGAATTAGTGTTACAGGTGGATATGAATTTGGGTAGATCAATAAATTGGCCAATCCAACTTAACTTGAAACTTAAAAATTGGGTTGAGTGGATAAAAGATAATAAATTGTTGCTAATTTGGATTGATCTCACGTAGGCATAAAATGACAAAGAAAAAACAACTAAAAATATTATTTTAATTTACACTCAAAATAACTTAAAAAAAGAAAGAAATGAAGCAATCAACCTTTAAACATGTTCAACCGTTTTCCTAATTTATTGTTAAGAAGATTTTATTTTTTATTATTTTCATCACCGTTTAGAACCACTTGTAGCAACTTTTTTCTTTTTTACATTTTTACTTTTGTTGAACCTTGAGGTTTTGTAGCAACTTCATCCTTTGTTGCCTTCCTTTATTCCCTATTCAAATTTTACTTCGCTCCATCTTACCATCCAAAAGATGCCCCCTCCACCAAAATAGGTACATTCCCAATTGAATTTTGATTCAATTCGGCTTCATTTGTCTCTAGTTCTAATATTATTGTTTCCTTTTCTGTCTGCTCTCAATTTCCTTGTGTAGTTTGGTGGTCTACACCTTTTTTTTAATGTGGTAACTTTAAATGTTGGTGAGAGTGTTGAACCAACATTAGTAATTTTAGTGAGTTAATTCGAAACTCTTATGACAATAAGCTTTGGGGCTTTTATGACCATATTTAAAATTGTAACAATATGGCTTAGAGTGAAAATTATAAAAGAATTCATAATTAAACAAACTGTATAGAAGTAATTTATCTAATTGATGGCATGACTTTACCTTCTACAAGTAAGACATTATTATTAAGCAAATTCAAATTTTATTTTCTTTAGAGATTATGATATTTCTATTGATTATACTCTTAAAAAATATAATTTTTATACTAATTTAACTAACTTGGTGTGTTTATTATGGACAATCATTATTCTTAACCACCACTTATTAATTATAAATAGTCAGTGCTAACATATTTTTTTATTATCTATCTTAATATTTTTTTTCTTTTTGCAACAAAATAAAATTATACAAAATTATTTAAAAATTCAAACAATGTAAATTGTTATTTACACTAAACTATTTTATTTCTTAAATTTAATCAATAGTATGATTATGTATCATTTTCTAAAATAACTTTAAAGAACAGTTATGTGTCAACTATTCTTATAACTTAAGATTTTAAGAAACTCTTGTAATTTCTAACTTATAAACGGGTGACAATCTATTGTGTGTTAAAAATACAAACAAAATGGATCTACCTCCAAACAAGCAACACATATTCATATAAACTAGCAAACAACAGAGCAGGGAATACATATATACATACCTTGAGTGAAAGCTTTGATCCCACTGCAAAGTTTTCTCATGTGAGTTTTGCTCCAGATGATATACTATTTAGCCTCCAGTCATGATGTTCATTCCTGTAGAGTACCATTGCCGGAAGCACTTTATATATCAAATTTTCGAAACACGCTCGTAGAAACCATCGTGCATGCTCAAATGGTCTTGTAAATTAAAGGTGTATTACCGCTATTCATGGCCACTGAATTTGTTGTCTTGGACGAGGAATCAATGACGATCCATGCTCTTAGAATTAGAAATCATCATGCATACTCGTAGTTGAAGTCTGACCCCATTTTCTCTACGCAGAAATGGAGTAGTTTCTTTTTTTTGTAGTCTTGGCTGCAAAGGAGTATAAAGGAGGGTGATAACGCTGGAATGGAGTAGTTTCTTTTTACAGTCTTGGCTTCAAAGGAATATAAAGGAGGGTGATAACCAAAGAATCAGTCATTACTTAATTTGCAAGACTCGTTTAGCATGTATGTGTGTGTGTGTGTGTGGGGGTGGGGGGGGGGGGGGTTAATATGTGTAAACATCAAGTCACCGTGAACAAAGAAGGATATTCAATACAAGAGAATAGGAAAATATTACTCTCTTATCTCTTATTTTTACAATATTACTCTCTTATCTCTTATTTTTAAGATATTAAAGAAATTATACTTATTAATACAAAGAAAGTATAAAATATTTTTTCAAATTTACAGTTACTATAGCAAACATCTTTATTTAACTATTTTTATTTTCTAACTTTTATTTATTATGTTTCATTTATATTCATCCTTTCTTTTCATCTCTATATTTTATCACTAATTATATTTTTTTATTATTTTTTCCATGAATTTATTTCCACCCACTTTTTTTAATTTTTCCTTTTCATATCACAATTTTTATTCTTGTATTCTTTACTTTTGAGGTCTGGTGCTTGTAGTCATCTCACACCCGTTACAATATCATTATTCTTGTAGAACAGAGACAAAGAAAAGGTAGTGTGAACGCGAATAAATTATCCTGTCAATGCGATGATCGAAGAAGTTTTCTTGCTCTACATTATATACCTTCTATAATCCGTTTCTCCCTACTACAAAACTTGAATCCTTTAAGAAGAACTAGAAAATTTTTATGGTGATATTTTATATTTTTTTTATGTGTGTAATGATTATTATTGTTAATTTTTAATAAATTTTAAAAAAATATAAATACTTTTTAATATTAAATATATTAAGAAAATTATAAGCATTAATGAGAATATATAATATCTTATATCGTAATAATTAAGGACGACCTTATGTTGTTTGCTTACCAAGTCTTGGCAGTTATAATATAAAATGGGGAAGAATAAGTAAGTCCTTTAATTTGTCTGGACTTTGGCGCTGCCTTACCAATGGAATGGCATCCTTTCAAAAGCAGAAATATTATTTTAACATTAAAAAGCATTTTGAGTGTTATAATAAGACCCCTCTGTACAAAAAGTCATTCCATTATTCATAAACAATGATCCTTGTGCTGCACATCACCAATCTTTTCCCCACAAACCGCGGTGTTAGTACTAACTTTTTATTTTTCAAAAGGATTTGTATCCATATAATATAATATAATTATATTCAAATATTATTAACGGTGCAACACATTCAAATGGTACGTATTTTATCATTTTTTTCACTGTAGATCCTCGGCTGTTCTAAACCCAACTAATATATCTTTGCCACTTTACTTTCATGGCTGCAAAACTCACAGGAAAATCTCAATGAACCTTCTATTATTTTACCCTACTCTGCCTTCTCTATCATTAAAGGTCATGTTCATCAATTTGAAGAACTCGCTGTTCTTACTCCCAACCAATATATCTCTACCATCTCACTTTCATAGCTGTAAAACTCAAAGAAATCTCGATAAACTTTCTACTGGTTCACC